TGTTAGTCCCAGACTTGGATTAGATTAAGTTAAGTTCGCTTAATCAAGTGGAGAAACTGGGAAAACAAACTTGGCCGCGTAAGCAGACTACAGCCAGACCGTCACTTACTTTGTCAGTTGATAATCGCACGCCCAAGCAAAACTCTACTGCAATTCAGACATGACTTAACTAGATGGTACTTGGAACTCAATAGTGGGGAGTTCCGCAGGCATTTGCCTGTAAGCTAAGCTGGCTGATGCTGCCAGGTCTTCCGTAAGCAGACTACACCTCAAAAGTCCGTCCCATCTCCGTCCCTACTACACACAAAGGGATAAGGGGAAGGGCCGGGGGAAAAAAATAAATACATTAAAAAAAAAAACGGCGGGGGTACCCAGATTTGTTGCAGGTACCCGTTCTGACAGGTGTTATTGGCTCTCTCTAAGAGGAATCTTTGTTTTTTGTTTTTCTTTGAAGTTGTTCTCTGTTTTTGCAGGAATGTACCAGATTTGTTGCAGGGAAGCCATGGGTGCGTTCGGAAGGACTGAGCAATGCCCTTGTGCCAAAAGAAAAAAATTGTTACTTCAAACTTCAAAGCCCTGAGGAAAGGGCGCAATTTCGTAAATGGAATGATTTTTTTTAATAAATAAAAGGGCCTTTACCCGATTCAGCCCCTGTTCAACGAAAGCAGCATATTGGGGGTTTCTCGCCCAGAGCCCAATTCGTGAAAGCAGATCAAAAGACATGTTCTCTGGGTCAAAGGTCACGTCCTGGCTAAAGTAAAGACAATGTCAAAGGTCATGGTTGGGCCCTGGACGGACAGTCACCATGCTTAGATTTGGAGGTCACATCTGTTCGCCAGGGGCAATGCGAGTCCTGTCTATTCAAACAAGAGATGTCTCTGTACGTGCAGTCAATGTGTCTGTTCGTGCAGAAAGAGTGTCTGTTCGTGCATCAGGTGTGTCTGTCCAGTAGAAGTCAAAGAGTTAAGTTCAAGTCCGGATTCAAGTCAGAAGGAAAGTCTAGATTCAGTTTGGGAGTCCGAAATCAAGGTCTGAAGGCCGCAGCAGCAGCAACCCCTGAAGGAAAGGGATCTGGGACACATACACAGAGGCTGGGACTGGGAAAGGACCAGGACAGACAGAATTCAGACCTCGCCAAGGGAGGCCAGCACTATAAGACACGAGGCAGCCTCCCCCACAGACAGATTCCCATTGGCATTGATGCGTGGAAGTGCTGAGGCACTTGTGCGCTATAGTGCAGGGAGTTGGGCGCTGAAGAAGGAGCTGCGCCAGAGAGGAAAGGAGGCTGGGCGCTGGCTGCAGGGAAGCCATAGCTGCGCTAGCCTATGTTATTATTAGAAGGTTTAGTAAGTAGGCATCAGTGAGTGACATTCGAAGTAGATCTTTGTAGGTGACAGTGTGCATGCATAGTGAGGTAAGAGAACCAAGACAGAGTTCTGGAGAGAGAGAGAAGAGGTCAAGAGAGAGAAGACGGGGTGAGCTTGGATATGGTGGACACTTACCTGTTGGCGCCAAACTTGTGATCTGAAGGAGGACGCTGGCTGAGCCAGGTCCCACACTGTTGTATGACGAGGGAGACTTACCTCTTGTTGGAGCCGAACTCTGGAACTCATGCTACTCTTTGTAATAAGTGACATTGATAATATAAGCTGCGCTACTTGGTTCTTATCTCATCTCAATCTGGTTTTGTGTGAGGCCACTTTGTACGTGTGATGACATGTATGCATGCGGTTTGATGCACTCGAGCAAGCTGTGAACAGTCAGGTTCCTTGCATAATGAAACAGCTTCCTTCCGGCGCTGTCTGGATGCCAGACAAGGCCCATCAGAAATCAGCCTGTATTTTTCCACGGCAGCCCAGGATGGAAGAAAATGACCTGGGGTGACCAAAAAAAAATTGGTGCCACCCCCAATTTTTCAACCATCCGGACAGGGATCCGGACATCTGATCCAGACACTGGACCCCGGACGGTCCGGATCCCTGTCCGGGTGTCCGGATCGCTGCCATGGTTTATTGCTCGCAGATGGGTCCAGGAACCAGGGATCAGGGTTTAGGGTTTAAGGTTCAGGGTTCAGGGTTTAAGGTTCAGGGTTCAGGGTCAACCAGTCACTCTGTCCATCATTCAACGAATCCTTTTTTTGGGGGGGGAAACAAGGCTCCAGTTGTGTGTGGGCACCATCACATGCTGGGAACTGGGCCCAGCATCGCATTGTGATGATTGTACAAAACAGATGAAGATACCGGGGCCGTTACCTGGGTTCGGCTGCAAAAACACCACTAACTGGGATGTACTTTAAGGTCGCCCAGACTCTTCTTCTACCCGGGAAGGCCTCCCAACCCTTCTGGAGACCCAGAATGCAGATGTTACAGGTGCCTCTTCACCCAACTATAGGGCGCCTACTCCGGGCTTGCTGCCTGGTTCTTGTTGACTCTGGCACCCGACATCTGCTTTGCTGTTCCGGCTGTTGTTGCCTCCCATAGGCTCGCTGCCCCAGCGTCTCAGTCCTGCCCGAACCGCTGCCTGTCAACCAGGGCAAAGGGAGGTGAGGGGAAAGGGTCAGGGAAGTCTGATAGGGGTCGCACTGGAATAGCAGTATCCACTGTAGTCCATTCATTAAACCACCAGTACCTACCAGTTGTGAAGGCCCGTGGCTCAGCAGACCGGTATCCCGAATCTTGCCGAGCCTCGGGCTACCGGTAAGTCGAGTTAAAAACAGAAAAACTACATTCTTCTTTGAAAAAAATAACAAAAACTTGAGAAAAACAAAGGAGCGGTTTCAATTTTTTTTTTTAAACCACCACTACCTTTCCCAGGCAAACGCAAAGTCCATCTAGTAGCCTACTCCTGAAAACACGGGGCTCGGGGCAGGGTTGGAGGCCGACGAAAAAAAAAARAAAAAAAAAGAAGAAAAAAAAAGAAAGAAAACGAAGAGTCCCCACTCCAGGGATGTCGGGAAAGGCCCTCACGAGGGTGGAAGTTGTACCAGTGCTTGGACGAATGTATCTGGCCACTATGTCGGAAAAGGGATTGCAGGTCGTTTTTCTTTTTCTTTTTGTTTTGAAATCCTT